TTACTGAGAGTCTGTGGTGTTTGGTAGACATGCGACCAAAGTAGATAGATAACCTAGCAGCTTCTTCTGCCTTTAGAAACTTTGACTACATGTCCAACCAAGACCTATTAAAAGGAGAAATTCTCACAGCAAACACGCTCTGCCTTGCTGTGCTGAAGGGGGAGACACCACACTTCTGCTAGATGGACCTGGTGGAATAGGTGATAACAGTAGGCTGCTGTTCTTATATGGCCAGCTTCTGTTTTGGTGAGACACATGCACTTTCTGACAACGGGTAAATCTTAGGGCTGAGATACCTTTTCCACCTTTTTCCACCAACTGTGTATTCATCTGCTCCGAGCTTCTCACCTTTTGCCAGTCTGCTATAATACCTATTCCTGTGTCCTGTTCCCATTTCCTCAATTAGCCAATACTAATTTATTTTATCAGGTTGTTCATCTGGGCCCTAATCTCTTTGTTTAATAAAACCTTGTCCTAGGAGTGAAAGGCTCTGGTCTTCTTGCCAGTCACTTCCAGTTCCTCTGGTAACATCCCAGTCCTTATCTCTGCTTTTACCTAGCCAAGCCAAGCTGATGTTCAATTTGCTCCCTGTCCTATCTATCTTTTCCCACCTGCTCCATCCCCCAGCCTATCTGAGCAGCTTTGTCTCCAGTCTTGCCCCAGCGTATTTGTCAGGTCAGTCAATGCTTGCTCTGGAGAAAATGTCTTCATGAGATTTTATGCCTCTTCTCTTCTGTCTCCTTCCTCCTACCCTTCATTGATCACATCATGCACTGTACTTTAGATGTTGAATTCTGCTAAAGAAAGAATAGGAGATTCCTTTGAAGAGGTGGTTCATAATAACAGACAGCTCCTTAAAGTAGACAGTATGAATACTCCTTAGCATCATAGTTACCAGAGTAACTGTGAGCAAAGACAGTATTTCCTCAATAGGGGTAGCTTTATAAGGTTGGTGTACTGCAGAGATTTTAGAGTATTGTTTCTGAAGTCTCCACTGTTTGACTTAACCTGAAATACCGAGCACATCTGCAAATAGTGATTGCATAAAATGTTTTCTGCTATGGAAGTGTTTCAAATGAATGCAAATATAAATACCTCTACCCTTTTACTTATCTGTGACCAAAATCCTAGAGTTGCAATCATAACTCTTTGCATTGGAATTGGTATCGTCATTGGTGACATAAGTAGTGCACCAGGAATGAATAAATAGGCTGACCTTGTGTTTTGCATAATGAGTATTCTACATAATCCGTGAGTGACTCCACCTAAATACAATGGAATTTAGTTCTAGAATCACTGTAATAATGGAATAAATGATAGTATGTTGAATGTCAGCATCCTGTTCTCAGAAGCATGGGTCTTTTTTTTCTTGGGAAGAGAGTAGAGCAGTTAAATGAGGGAGGACAGAAAAGAAGAAAGAGAGTAAACATGTTCTCACCTACATGTCTCATTTAAAACTTTAATAAATTTTAATTAACGAGGAGATCTAAAATCAATGTAGCAAGATAGTATGTAATAAGGCATTGCTTCTATAGCTCTCAACAGCAGTAAGGAAACTATTTTGCCTGGTCTCTTAAAGAAATTTGGCTTATGAATTCATGCTTGCTCTTGTTTTCATGTATGTGGAAATATGCTCTTATAAACAAACAAACTCTACTGGGGGAGAGTCTTCATGAGAGTTTTTCTCTTACTGAATACCAGAAAATTAATGTAAGTAATACAGCACAAGAAAACTTGAACCAGAGTTTGTGCCTTTGTAAATGTTCAGTCAATCAGGCTTAAGACACAAATCCAAAAGGAAAACGAAATTCTTTAGATTGATTTTCACTGAACTGAGTTTTAATTAATCTAACTTTCAGCTTTGGTTTCCAGCAGGACAGTTACTATATACTAGAATGACTGATTTGTCTCCTTCTCCTGGGAGATGATTGGCTTCATTATTTAAGTAATTAGGTGAAATCTGGGACTAGAAAATCTTAATTTCATACTGAGTTAGAATACCATGTCCAGTTTTAGACTCCAGACTTGAAGGAAGAAGAGAATCAGCTGGAGACAGTCCACAGGAGAATGACAAGAAAGATCAAAAGTGTAGAAATTATAGCCTAAAAGAAAAAAATTGAATAAATTACGTTAGTTTAGGCTGACACAGAAAAGATAGAGCAAAGACATTATAACACAAGAGGTTGCTCCAAGGAGGAAGAGAACAATCTATTTCCCTTGCCTGTGTTTGATAGAACAAGAAGTAATAGGCTTAAATTACAGCAAGGAAGATTTATTTAGAAATTACAGAAAATTTTAATGGTGAGGATAGGAAATAGATTGCTTGGCAAGCTTTTGGAGTTTCCATCTCCATTGGAGATTTGTAAGATCAGAGTGCTTGAATAACTGCTTCTTGCAGAGGGGAGGATGGATTAGATGTCTTCTAGAGGTCCCTTCTAATTCTACTGTATATTTTACTCTAGTAGTAAAACTGTAGTTTAAAAGATAGGCTTCATGTATTCTTCTTACACTATCTCATCCTTGTCTTCAAGCAGTGATAAAATCCTTCTGTAGAAAAATGAATAAACAATGCTATTACTCCAGTGATCCTGTAATGAAAAATGGAAATACATCTTGGAATAAAGTACTTTTTGATGCACCTTTGTTTAGATAATTGCACAAAAGTACTTGGGAAGTTGGCTGTAATAGGGAAAAACATATAATGTGATAAAATTCATTTGTTTAAAATTACTTTCTGAATGATACCACTGTAGATCACTCATGTGGGAACTTCAGAAATCAATTGGATAAAATTACCCTAATTGCATTCAGAATACTAAATATAGTTTTAGGTTTTTATATTATCATTCTTTCTATTTTAAAGATTTCGTTTAACTGGAAATATTAGAAGTAGCACTTTAGTTCTCAAAAATTGTATGTACCTTGTGAAATCCATTAAGAAAAATAAAGGATAAAGTAGACATTTCAGAGAGAACTTTAAAAGTCCCTATAACTGTCTTTGTGGCTGAATCCCCCAGAATAAAATGGATGTGCTGATGGGGCTGACCGACTGCTTGTAAATCATGATTCTGAAGCACATGCTTCTGACACAGAGCTTTGAATCTGTTTATGTATTTAATTCTGGTCAGTCTTTATATTCCACAGTTTACATTATAACTTGAATGCAGTTTGTTTGCATTGCCTGTAATATGATCGGGGCATAGCACTTGTATTGCAGAGCATCACAGAAATTTGACTCTGCTGTTCTATTTCTTGAATATTTGATTTTTCAATAGTTTAGTCTGTTCAGTTGTGGAACATCTTCTTTGGGCAACACCAGGATCAGAGAAATCGGTTTAAATTCAGGGCAGCAATGCCCAACTCAAAGCACCTTGCCAGCTGCCTGGATCCTCTTTCCCCTTTGGACGCTTAGACCTCAGAAGATCTTGGTCCTGAGGAAGGGCTCCATCAGCAGTCGGAGCTGAGCAGCGAGCTGCCCCTGGTGCCACTGAGCCATGTGGAGCTGGTCCTGTGTCATGGGAAATGCTGTCTGTCCTTCCTCTAGGATCTCAGATGGAGACCTCAGGAGATCAGTGTACTCACAGGTTCCAAGTTTATAGCACATGGACTGAATGTGGTTGCCTGGACACATCACCTTGCACCAGGCTTACTTCAAACCTCCTTCCTCCCTTTCGCTGTCTCACCAGAGACATGCAATGGGACTAGATATGTACCATGGATACACACATATTAGGTGTAATCCTCTTCTGCCATTGAAATAACCAGTGATATCAGAATTTAGGTGACTGCAAGTCTGCAACAGTCAAAACTGATGCACTGAGTGGATGTAGCCTCTTGTTCAGTGAGCCAAACTTTTGGAGGCTTCACTAAAGTGTAAATGTTAAGCTTGGATACTTATGATCCTGCAGACGTACACGCCCTGTAGATCTCAGCAGAGGGTAGAGTTATCTGAAGTTAACTTTAAGTAAAATTGATCAGTTATTGGAAGGAATCTGGCCTCGTTAATAGGTCACAGGGAAGATGCTCTGCCTTCTCAAAAGCATGTAGCTTCTACTGGTTGAAGACAGCTGCTTAAATGAAGCTCAATAGCACTTTGCCAGTGGTATTTTTCAAAACGTGACCCCCAGCAAATTCCTAGAACATGTTAAAACACTGAGTGTTAACAACACAAAAGTTCACAGTTGTCCATAAAAAAAGGATGAACAGTGGCCCAGCCCCCTGGGAATCTCTGCACCATTCAGCAACTTGTTGACATGCTTAGATTCCTCATGGCTTTAACTTATAAGAACATGTGTTCTCATGAAAAAAAAAAAACACATTAAAATGAAAACAAGTTTAATAATAAATTTTTTAATTGTGAAGCTCTGAAGGAAATAGATAGTTGCAGGAAGTGAGAATCTTTATAGGTTTTTGTTATGTTTTTAAAACCAGCACCTCTATTCTGGGCATTCATGTTCTCTAATGGAGATCAGGCACATATTCAAAGAGGTTTCACAGGTACATTTCCTTACATTCAATAGACACAATGGATTTTAAACAGTTTCATAGCAACTGATGGTTCCTAATGGCCATTAACCTAGATAAGTGAGTATCAGTTTGGTGCATCCTTAATGGTCCATAATGGTCTGTGGGTAAAGAATTCTTTGTTCCTAAGTAGTGGGTTTTTTGGTTGTTGGTTGTTGGGTTTTTTTTCTTCCTAAACTTTGTTTTACAAAGCAGGTTCATGTGAATTTTTGCATTCAGGGGAAAAAAAATTCATACCCAAGAGCTTTATGATAAGAGCATTTACCACAAAAAAAAAGATTTATATTTCTCTAGAATGTAGTAGCCATAGTTTATCCTAGCAGGAAAAAAAACAACTTTTAAAAGTTGAATATATACCTTGACAGCAGCTGAACAGACATTCCTAAATAGTGGAGATTTTTAAATGCTATACCTGTTGGAATTCAGAAAGGCAGTTTCACATTCATTTTTAATATTAAATTCTTTTCTGCTGCCAGGACATGTCATATGTCTTCTGCGAGACAAAATACTGCAAATGCCATGGTACAGGAGGAAATCACTGCGATACTTGATGGATGGAGCCAGCATAAAGCCGTGGGAAGAGCAGAACCCAAGCGCTCCGGGAAGTGCACAGCTGGGATGTAAGAATTAGTACTGGAGTGCTGTGTCCCTCAGAACCATAGTGTCTGGAGCTGCTTTGTCAGCAGGGTCCCGTGATGGAGGCGTGTTGCTGTTGGAGAAAGACAGTACATCTTGGAGGAAATCGCACCACCTCTCAGAGTGGCATGTTTTAAATAAGTACCTCACACCCCCACTCACATGAACCATTGTGTCAGCAACAGTATGTACTCATAACCCATGAAGTTATCCACCCCACATGTACCTTCATTGATGTAGCTATGCCGGAAGTCTTCTAGAGCGCATGCGTGGGCTTAATTCTCTCCCCAAGACTCTGCTAGGGTTTACTGTATAGTAACATAAACCTGTGTTTTAAAAATAACGCTTTAATATACTGTGGTGTGCTACATGATGTCTCAGACTGATTGTATGTGATTGTATTTTCATGAACCTTAATGAGACTTAAAAATAAAGAGGCAAATTTTAGAGAAAATTGGATTAAATAGCTTAGTTCTCCATAAAGACTTTAAATTTCAATCAAGTTTCGAGTCTGAGACTAATAATTCTTAGACTGGATTTTTAAAATGTCTCAAATTTAAGATCAAATAATGAGCATTATCATCAGTGTATTTGTATAGCAGTAACTCCTAGAAGTATGAACATTAAAATGACGTATTTCAGAAGCCACCGTTGGCCTTCCCCAAAACTCCAGCTTGGGTTTTGTTGGTTCTTTTGCCCAGCTGTACCTAGGGTGATATCCTGCATCTCTGCAACTCAGTCATCCCTGTGCAAACTTCTGTAAGACTCCTATATTGGCGTGGTTCTCGTTCCCAGTGATGGGGCAATGCAATATCAATCCTAGTCTTGCTTACTGTGTGGGACAGGCAGAAGGATGTTTGATTCTTTGTTATCTGCTTGATACACAATCCTTACAGGAAGAAAAAAAGAGATGAGTTTGGATTCTGGTCTGTTATTCCCCATGTCTGTGGTCATAGTGCCTTTCAACCTCAGTAGTACTCAGGACTTCATAAATATTATAAAGTTTGTGGATTTCAAAGTTTCCTCCCATTTGAGCTTTCTTTTCCACAGTTCTGGGGGGCTTGGCATTAGACTGAATGTATCATTTATGTTTGGTGGAACTGGTGAGCCTCAGACCCTTTCAGGTAGTTCACACCACAGGGTTCATCTCACAGGTAGCTCACATTGCTTGTCTTCTCACACATGGGTTTATCTATGAGGTCTGGGAACATGTATATTTGTGGCCATGTGTGGCTGGGGTTAATTAATTTTTTCACTCTTCTGCTTCTTGTCATTATCCATACCTGTTCATAACACAGAGCAGGTTTTGATAGTGGCCATCAAGTACATGAAAATGAGCTGGGCTTTTAAGAAGCTTGCCTGTACTAGACATTTTATTGGTTGTCATGAGGTGATGAGGGATTGTCTTGGCATAGCAAAAGGTGTTTGTATTTGTTAATTGGAAAGAAGACAATAAAACCTTCTAAAAGTTAATTTGCTGGATTTTTGTATCTGTGGAGGGTCATGAGAATGCTTCGGTGATAAGCAGTAAGAAACTTTTAATAAGACATTGTTGAAGGTAGGCAGTTTTGACTGCAATTTTAATAACCTTGGTGAAGTCATCATAATTCTAAAATAACCTAATAAATTTGTTGTGACCTTAAGACATTGCTAATATAGAATTATGTAAAAATAAATGAATTTATATTTGACTAATGAAATAAGATATTCTGCAAGTGTTGTGGAATACAAAAGTGTATAAGATAAACAGTCTGAGTTTCAGTATGCTTAAGAAATAATTCTTCAGACCTTTTCCCAGAATGACAGCTTTACTTTCTGTGGATCAGCTTGTCCTGTTAGGGTATAGATGCTGTGTCTATAGTGGGCATAAGAAACCTCTTGCAACGCTTTGCCTTCAGTCTACTTTTGGAGTTATTTTTAGAATGACTAGCGACATGTGAGATGAGCAAAGGTAGTAAGTGTCCATTAAACTCATCCAGTCTCAGTTGAATCTGATGGTCAAAAGTTTTTAACATCTCTAAGACTCCCACTGTGCTCATAGATTTGGTTGAAATTGTCCAAGAGGTTGAAAAATTGCCAGGGAAAGTGGGGTAATAGTTGAGCAAATGGATAATGATCCTGCATAAACCTCATTTCCTTAGGACATTGTACAACAAAGTGAACAACCTGATGGATGGGGGCATCTTCAAAGTTTAGCAATATAGATGTTCTGTTTCAGTTGTTAATCTTACCGGGGAAAGAATTCAGTTTGTTTATCAGGAAAAATACTAATCAGTCTTCATCACACTTGGCTTTTTCTATGGAAAACATGTAAGAGTTAAACTGAGTATGTTCTACCTCGAGTTAGCTGTAGTTAGCATTTCTGATCAGAACATCCAGTTCTTCCTTCTCTCTTTCCTTTTAAAATTATGTTTTCATTTCAACCACTTTCCACCAGCAGGCAAAGCTGCTGTTACACTCTACCCAGCTGTGAAATCAATATGATTTTCATTACAAAGATTACATAAACTCTCTTAGAAAGACTCTGAATTGCCAAAGGTCAAATAACAGTCAGTGGCAGAGCTTAGAATTTAGATGTACTAATTAAAAAATCTCGTGGTATAAATATATTAATGAAATGAACCCTGAGAAATGTTTGCATTCAAGATGGCAACAATTTTAAAGTGTTAAATTGTTGCTTTAATTGCTGTAGTTCATGTAAGTCATGTCAGAATGTGGTGTATTTTTTCTCTGGTTTATGATTGTCTCCTATAAAATAGGTATTAACTCTTTTTTAATCACAATTATTTGAACTTGATTAGATTAGAAAGTGTAACAGTCACAGAGGTGAGAATATACCTAGTGAGATTTCTGTCATATTGGGCTCTAAAAATGACACATAAAACTGAGTGAATGGGTGCATCAGTTATTTCTGTGACGTATGACTTCATTAACAACAAGAGGAAGTACACAGTCAAACTGAAAGCAGCACTTGAGTCTTTCAGACAGAGCAGCCAGTTCTATTTAAATTAAAATCAGCATTTTCAAATAAATGTTACTAGTGTTCTTCAGATCATCCTTGATGTCTTCTTACTAACCCTTATTTTTTCCAGCAGTTAAGTTACATCTGTCTTCTTATGGATGAAAATAACAGGAAATCAATTATTTTATCACTTGCATTTGTTTGATATTCCTCTCTCCCAGCTCTCTGTTTTTATTTAAATTCTGTCTTTTCCAACCCGTATTCTAAACCAGGGAACTCAGATTGCCAAATATTGTGGGTTTTGATAGGAAAAAGTTCTTCACCTCACAGCTGAAGAGTTTTTATGTTATTGTGCTCCCTCTGCTGGATAGTGCCTATTTATTTTTTATTCCCTGAACTATACTAATATTCATGTTCTACAAACAAGCAATCACACTGCCCTAACGAAGGAGGTATAATAAGTGGGAATGCTCATTTTGGTCTCAGATGGCATGGAAGGGGACAGTTGTAAGGTAGGAAAAGTCCTGTTGTCTGGCAGCTCAGAGCAACTGAAAGCCTTTGTTGGACATTTGAGGAAAAAGTTATTTACTATCTCTTGAACAAAACCAGATGGACACTAAATAACCTTCTTTCATTTGTATAACTTAGAGAGGATGATGTTGATTCTTGTCCTCTGGTAAGTACAAGAGTATCCTCGGATGTTGCCATAAGGTTATTAATGTCTCAGTCTTAGTGGTGTGGTTCTCATAACTCACTTCATCCTTTGTTGAATCTTACAGAGATTTTGCTCAGCAGAGAAAGCAGATGTGCTCTCATGCTTCATGCCAGCCCCAAGGCAAGGTGGCTATGGCTCAGTCCTTTCCCATCGTCGCTGCAGTGAGGTGAAAAAGGTGAAAAGCAGTACTCTGGTTCTGTTTCTAGCAGTGATTTTGGTCTTCATGGCCTTTGACTTCACTTTGACTTTTTAGGCTTACTCTCCTGCTCACCTTTCCCACTTCTGTCACATGGTGAACCTGGCTTTGTCTGTCCTTCATTCATTCCTCCTATCCTCCTTTCCTCCCTCCTTTCCTTCCCAGGTGGATGTGGCTTGGGTGGGCACCCCAGCATAGCTGATCCCATCTCACAGCTCTCTCTTGGGTGACGTCAGAGCCTCCAGACCCATGGGGCCACTCAGGCAGCTCCATGGGGCACTGTCTGGACCAGCCAGCCCCCAGTTCCAGTCCTGTCCAGTCCAGTCCAGTTCCTGGTTTGGATTCCAAAACCGCCCAGCTCTTCCTGTGCTGACTGACCCAGTCAGTCCTATGGAAAGGGGATGGAAACTCAGCGTCGACTTCAGCTGCAGGTGGTTTGCCCGTCTGGGTTGCTTCTTCCCAGATCTTGTGCCGTGGTTTTGCCAGAGGAGCTGGATACCTTTGCAGTTTCCTTCAAATTTAAAGTGATGCTGTAAATGCCACTGCGTATTAGTATCACTGAACTGGGAGTTATTTTTCAATTTGGCTTGGCTGCACTTACAGATTAGCTCTCCCATATTTCAATATAGATCAGACTGGTAGCATATTCCTAAAAAGCTATTAAAACTTACCAGTCATTGGGGGCAATAACTTATTTTATGAAAATGGTAGCTATTTGACTCTGGGTTTAACTAGAAGTCTCATTTTGGGAAAAGGCATTATGGACAAATTCTAGTTAAGAATTTTTTTATTGGGGCCAGTTTTAAATTTTGATTTCTGGATATAAAAAATAATATTCAAGGTCTGTGATTCTCCCAGACCTGCAGTGAAGTAATCAGCATAATTATCTTCTCTATGACTCTCTAATAAACTACTTCCATGTGCATGTACACTTTCTTTTATGAAGTTGCCTTTTTTAAACCATTTCTGCAAGAACAAACTGGTTAAAAGAATAAATTTCCAGTTCCTAAAACCTTCAGTTCTTCCTATTCAGAAGACAGATGTTGAATACATTTTGCTTTTGTTAGAGTAATAAAAGCTTGCGTTGTTGAACAAATAGTCTTCCTTAATTTAGCGAGGGCTAAACAGAATCAGCATTGCCATTTGCGGGACAGCTTATCCTAGGGTGAATTCCTTCACTGAACCAAGTCAGGGTGATGATGGTTCTGCTGATGGCCGGGGCTGCTGGGAAGGACTTCTGCAGAAGGGACTCTTTCTGGAGGAGCTTCCAGGATCAGGTTGAAAATCATTTGCCTATTGAGTTATAGCAACTAAAACACTTGACAGTGCTTGTCTCAGTGAGAGCACACACCATATGCTTTGGGTACATTCCTGAGCAGACTATTATCCTCCTAGTGCCCAGGTGAGCTCATTAACACTCCTGTTAACCCGTTCAGTGGCACTAATGCAGCAGCCCCTGCAGCTGGTGAGGAGATTCAAGTTGTCTTTAGGATGCATGGAATGAAACCTTAGATGAAGTTTGCATAATTGAAGTCACATGGGTGGTATTATTTTCCAAAGTTATAAATGTTAGCTTATTTGTTGGTTTCTTTATTCCAAGCTGCCTGATTTCCTCCATCTCATGAAGAGCAGTGATGTGAAATGGAAAAAAGGATATGTAAAAACTTATAGCAGGCATTAACTTCACATACATTACTGCTATTTTCCTAAGTTTTCCCACAGAAGGTCTGGAATACTCTTGCATTGGCATTCCATATAATGCTAATCCAAATGTAAATTTCTATGTTGATCGGGTCTTTTCTCCAAATATGTGATCAGGTCATGAGAGGAAGTGTGGAAAATTTATAGTTGATGTGGATAGAGAAAGCTCCAGTTTAAGCTATTGTAGTCCTCGATCAATTCCAGTCATTCTTTATTGATTTATGGTCACACAACAAATTTAATAGAAAAATAATCTTTTGCAAAGTAGCTTATTATAGGTAAGAGAAGAAGAATTGGGCTTTGCTAAAAAGAAATCACCCTCAGATCCCAATGTTTTTCCAGGCTGTATTTCTTTATATGTGGAAATTTTTATTTTCACTCCCATTCATTTGAACAGCAGATTTGCATTTGGGGGGGGGGGGGAGAAAAAGAGAAAAGAATAGGATATGTAGGGAGTGAGGAAGAATGAAGCTACAAACTAAACAGACAAAAGATACTATTTCAAATAAGTGTATTTATGGTCGTGGGAGGGAAACGTAGATCAAATGAGAAGAAAAGGCTGGAGAGGACCTACTCTGGATTCCCCTGATGTGGTAACAGCTGTTATTACAGTATTCAGCTTTTTGAACTAAATATTGATAGAAATAAATGAATAAAAGACTAGTAAACTGAAATGTGTGTTCTGCCTTCATAAAGCCTTTTTCAGCACCTGGAGTACCAGAATCAACACCCTTTTATACAATTAATATATTAAGTAAAAACATCAGCTGACAGGAAATAAGAAAGTTCCTATGGCAACTAAAAATAAGCACAGGAGGAAAAACGCATCAAATGCTGTCAGCAGACAACATGAAAGGCGGCTGTATGGAGATAATAGAGCAAGAGCGTACACAGAAATC